TGGGCATTGTTACTAAGGTTTGTATACAGATGTCAACGTACATTTATTTGCGTACATTTGATAAAGATGTTTTATTCTTCCATAGGACAGTATATAGCACACAGACGTTCTTTTAATTTGCATCTATGGTTAAATAACATCATGGAGGCATTTCACCCTGACTCATTGTGACATGTTCAGTCTATCTAGTTTCAAAACACATGAGCTGCAAACTTTCTATAAACAAATAACGAATATTTCACTAACTTTAATAATAACATCTAGTAGTAAATCATTTTGCTACATAATAAATTTGATTAATCACTATTATAGAATAACGACACTTACCATTTTTTCATGAATCTTTGAGGACTGAACTTTCTTCTACATTACAATGTATGCGTCACGTGGTAACATGTAAAGGGTAAACAGTGAAAAAAAAGATAAAGAAAGGAGAGAAAGGTCATTGACGTACATGACAAAGATCAGATCTGAGTTGGCCAGGTTTATTTGACATAAAATAAAAGTCAATTATAATATATTGTCACTATCTATGTATTTAGATTATATTTAGTATGGATAATAAACGGTTCAAACTATACATAATCATACATTTTCTACATAAATTTAATGTTCACCATACTTTAACTAGTTTTGTATGTCACTTAATTTAACAGTCAGTAATCATAGTTCTTTCACTATATATAAGGATCCAAAACATTAAATATGTATTATATTTCTCAATATTTGAAATGTCGCATCTAAAGATAAATACCTTAATAAATGATGTAACGTTAATAACTGATATAGTGTTTAATAACTGATATAGTGTTTTGACCGATACTTTGATACATTTCCGTCCAACACTACGAACTCGGGTACTGGACGGTAGGTCTCGTCAGGCCTCAGTGACAAACATATATATTGTTGCGTCAGCGAGGTCACGTGACTAGTATCACGCCACGTCTTTCTAGAATTATCCTGTTCCTTCATGAATGCCCTAGCATTTACTAGATATGTGTTAGTCTCGTATATATAAGACGGTCACAACGTGACGGGACAAGAGTGTAATGAGTAATTGAATGTATACTGACAGGGAGAATATTTTTGGGCACGTGAGACGTTCGTTGAGGATTATAGCGTTTGTTATAGAGCGACTGTTGAAATTAAGTGTATCGTAAAGTTGTATTCGGAAAGAATAAACCAGTTTTATTTAAGAAAGGACTTGTGTCGCTAAAGTTTCGTCGGAACGAATTTACGGAAGATTAAATAACGAATGGAGACGTAACAATTGGTGTCAGAAAGTGGGACAAAAAAATGGAAACCAGAGGCGGAAAATCAAACTACAGCTTAGCAGACTTGATGGCAGCAATACTAGAACAGCAAAAGAAACAAGAAGAACGAGAAAATAAACAAGAAAAGAAACAAGAAGAACGAGAAGAGAAATTACAACAGTTGTTGGAGGAAAAAGAAAAGAAACAAGAAGACAGATTACAGCAGTGGCAAGAAAACCTGCAACAGTGGCAGCTCGAACAGCAAAATA